AACTTGGACACATTATAAATGGCACATTAAACAATTAGATGTCTTCCATAAAGGTTGTCTCGGTAGTGTGATTTAGTATAAGGTGTTTTACTTTTTTTTACTGTATTAACTTGCTCTTTACTTTTTTTTTACTGTATTAACTTGCTCTGCATGCCTGTTTTCCTAAGCTGTTGTATTGAGCACTTTTTAATATACCCGTTTTTGGGTACGGTAATTTTTCGGACATGTAACATATTTTAATGTGAGTGACTATATATATATATATATATATATATATATATATATATATATATATATGTCATATGTCCTCACACTACCGGGGTTTTGTCCGCAAGGTCTCATCATATATATAAATATAAAATATTATTATTCCACATAAGAAATTGTAAAAAAAACTAAATCAAAGCACCTTGTTCTGTTATATTCAATGAAATGTGCATGAAAAATATAGGATTGCTGACAAAATACATATATATATATATATATATATATATATATATATATATATATATATATATATATAATTTGTATATTTAGGCAGCAATATATATATATATATATATATATATATATATATATATATATATATATATACCTTTTTTTCATGCACATTTCATTTAAGACGACAGACCAGGTGTTTTGATTTAGTTTTTTATGCAATTCTCATGGTCTAATACTTTTTTATACGTAGAGCGGAAAGCGCTCGGATAAATAGAACAATTGACAGTTTTATATAATTTATCATCGAAAGAAAAAAAATAGATCACATGAGAAATTGTACAAAAATAAATCAAGCACCTTGTCTGTTGTATTCAATGAAATGTACACACACACACACACACACACACACACACACACACACACACCCATATATATATATATATATATATATATATATATATATATATATATATATATATATATATGTAAAAATAACACGCTACCACCCACCCTGTCTAAATGATTGAATTTTCTGTATCCTTCGAAACAAAAATTATGTATGTATATGCTTTTAAAATAAGTTATTCCAAAATTCTCTTGAAGATGAAACAGAACTAATACTTTTAATTTAACATAATTGAATTTGAAGTTTTTGTTTGCTGTTTGTGAAACATGGTAATAACTGTGTAGCGATGAAACTATATTTTTAAATCAGTTAATTTATAATATTCATGCTCTGTAATTTTACATTGAGCACTGTTTTGTAAAAATAAAAATATCAATAAGAACACCGGATTACATATCTTACTGTCTTTCCTTTTTTTTATATATATATATATATATATATATATATATATATATATATATATATATATATATATGTTGGCGAGGCCAACAGATTACCCGCCAAAAGACATATAAAAAACAAGAAAACACTACAAAAGAAAAAAGACCAAGAGGCAAATTACATACGTATCTAGGTATCATGCATATCTACCTACCCATCTACCTATTAACCTACCTACGTATCTATCTACCCATTTATCGACCCACATATCTACCTACCCACCTGCATACCTGTTCACCCATCTACCCATCCATCCACCCACCCACCCACCCATCTGCCCACCCATCCACCCACCTATCCCCTGCCACCCACCTGTCCACCCACCCACCCTGTCCACCCACCCCATCCATCCACCCATCCACCCACCCATTCACCTGCCCACCCATCCATCTATGCAACCCTTCACACCCACCCACCCATTCATCCGCCCACCCACCCACCCACCCACCCACCACCCACCCATATCCCCATCCACCCATCTCCACCTAACCCCCACCCACCTGTCCACCCACCCACCTGTTCACCCACCCACCCACCCACCCATCCACCCCACCCATCCACCTGCACACCCACCCACCTACCCACCCACCCACCCACCCATCCATCTACCCATCCATCTGCCCACCCACCCACCCACCCACCCACCCACCCACCCACCCACCCACCCACATCCCTAGCCACCCATCCCCACCCATCCCCCACCCACCTGTCCACCCACCCACCCACCCACCCACCCACCCATCCATCCACCCATCCACCCGCCCATCCACCTCCCCACCCATCTACCCATCCACCCGCATCCCCACCCACCCACCCATCCACCCACCCATCTGTTCACCCACCCATCTTCCCTTCCTTCCTTCCTTCCTTCCTTCCCACCCACCTACCCACCCACCCATCTGCCCACCCACCCACCCATCTGCCCACCCATTCACCCACCCACCCATATCCCCATTCACCCTCATCCACCCATCTCCCCCTACCTACCCACCACCCATCCATCCACCCATCTATCTACCCATTCACCTCCCACCCATTCACCTGCATACCTACCTACCTACCTACCTACCTTTCTATCTGTCTACCTACCTATCTACCTTCCTTCCTACCTACATACCTACCTACCTACCTATCTACCTAAGCAATAAATTTAAGTGTGTAAGAACTTTAGTAAGAGCTACACAGAAAAGGGAATTGTGTCAGGACAATATCGTCCACTTTCTGAGGAGACACAGCACGGAATTTGGTGAGTAGAGGAGAACAGACCAACAGAGTACCCAAAATTTTCCTTTGTTATCCTTGCTGTATACGTAAGCCCGATATCATGTAGAACACTGTTTTCTTACTGATGAGCTCAGGGCGCGTTGCACATGCTGGACACATAAATGTGCATTTAGTGTTTCACATTGCTTAAAAACCTTTTAATTAATAAGTTGCAAGACCACCCAGAGTATTGCAAACACCTTGCAAATTGGTTTCAGAAGACTCGTGGAATGCCACTCAGGTTTGAAGTATTGAAGTTTTAAAGTTTATTGTACGTTTGGGTTAGGGATCTCATTCTTTTAGAAGGTCCATGACCTTCCAAAGTCAGATGACATCAGTAAGGTCTTGTGGCCGTAAATTCTCTACTGGAGTTTCCTTAAAGAATGGATGAGCTGTCTGTCGAGGTCTGTGACTAATTACAAGGATTATTCTCGTCCTGGATAAGACGATAAACTACATCCGACAGAAAGGCCGCTTATCAGGAGGTTTTGAGAAGCGTGGAACCACCTCTTAATTGCTGGTGTTCCCTGGTGCACCCTGACTCGGGGTGGTAGCATCTGTTAGGGTCCCACCTATGGGCAAAGAGTTAACCCGAAAACTTGGGTCAAACGTGTAAAATATGTTTTAATACAAGCAATACATATTTGAAGAAAAAAAATATTACCAGCAATAATACTTTGGAAAAAAATATTACCAGCAATACATTTTTTGAAAAATATTACCAGAAATACCTTTTCAAAAACAATATTACCAGCAATAAAAATTTTGTCGGCATTAAATAACCCATTGAGGTTGATATGCCGTAAAACAAACAAAACGAAACAATAATTATTCAAACAATATGAACGGTTGTTTGAAAAAGGAACAGCCGAATATCAAAATTGAGATTTCAGATATCGAAATCAAACCGATGCAACACTTCCGATATCTGAGAAGCGTGTTTACAGAGGACGGAAAGTGCAACACGGAAACCCGAAAGCACATTGGAATAGCGAATGATGTGTTTCAAAAGTTGAGCAAAGAATTAAGAAACAAAAAAAAATATCGTTAGAAACAAAGAAAGAAGCGCTAAAATAGAATCAGTCATCGTATTTGGCGGTGGACGCTGGGCTACCTCCTCACAGATGATGAAGAAACTTGAAGCAACAGAAATGTGGTTCTACAAGGATGCTGAGAATACCATAGACCGAACATAGGAGGAAAGACGAAGTTGTAGATGAAATTTATCAGGTACGTAATGAGGAAAGAGGGTTTGGAAAATTTGATATGCGTAGGACAGATTGAAGGTAAAAAGGCCAGAGGAAAGCAATGCACAATCTGTCTGGCGAGCTTGAGGGAATCGATGACGGAGGAGGTTTTGTGAGAGATAATAGAAAGACAAAGGACGGGAAATTGTGGAGAGCCATGACCACCAAGAGAAAGAAAAAGAAAAAAAATGATTTGTTGTTCAAATCTTGGTCTCAATAGAAAAGTTTGCGGATACTTTTTTTTTGTTTTATATTTTTTGTTTATTCAGTCAGTTTTGTGCCATGCGTGATAAACGCTTAGGCGATCATGTATCTTTCAATACATGACTGAAGAGGCAGATTTTTTTCCCGCAGTAGGTTGCCATTTCTGCAGCAAACCATTTGTCATCCAACTCGATCTGTCCTGATATTTACCGATAGTTGGGGATGAAAAGAAGAGGATTCATAACTTAAATTTTCGTCTCCGGCCATTTTCTCTTTCCACGACGTAAGAATTTAGGTAATTTTCGCAAATCTGTGACTTAGTTAAGTCTGTGTTGATAATAAACGCAATGGTTAATATTTATTATCGGAAATGTCTTTTTTTTTTCTTTCTGCTGTTTATTGCTGTGCAAGGTTCTGCAAAACACCGGGCTGTCTGGGGAGAACTTCACCTTTGATTTTCTTGATTCCCGATTGTTGGACTTGTAGATATTCATTAACCAGCTACAAGCGTAGAACAATGAAAATATTTCAGCTTAGATTTTCAGAAAACACGAGGAAAGCTGAAGAAAATATCGACCGATACATTGCATGTTTATCAGAAAACGAATATCGATTGCCAGACGGAAGGTAAATCGTATACTGGGGCACATTAGTTCACGTTCGGTAGCAGCCAACAGTTAGTGCAGTGAGATATACAGACGGACTCTTTCTTTGTCCTTCAGGCTTGAGAGAGATTCGATATTTCTTAATAAGTACAAACGAGATCAATAGCTGATCACTGGAAAATTGACGATCTTTTCATGTGTTTTTAGGGTCATCCAGTAGATGTGGAAGGCTTTGTATAGTTGACCTATTAATATATCATATCAAGTTATGGTATTGCGTTCGAAGATAAAAAAAAGGGAGGTAAAATCGATGCAAAATAAACTCTGAAAGAAAGGTTTATAAATGGGAAGAGAGAAGCAAGCAGGATGAGGAAAGACAAGACGAGAGAGAAGTTAAAGAGAGATGAAAGAAAAGAGGAAAGAAAATGAGGATGAAGAAAAAAAAGAAGAATGAAGAGAACGGTGAAGAAAGAAAGAAAGTAAGAAGACGAAACAGAAAGAAAAATAAAGAATGAAGAGGACGAAGAAGAAAGAAATAAGGAAGGAAAGGAAGACAGGTATGAAGAAAGAAAGAAAGAAAACAATGAAGAAGAGGGAAAGAAAGAAGAGGAGGAAGAAAAAGACAGAAAAAAGACAGAAAAGAAAAAATGATGAAGAGGACGAATAAAAATAAATAACGAAAGAAAGAAAGAAAGAAAGAAAGAAAGAAGGGAAGCAGGTGAAAAAGATATAATAATAAGAAAGAAAGGGAGAAAAAAGGAAGAAATAAAGGAAAGAAAGAATTAAAGATTTAAAAAAGAAAGAATAAAGCAAAGAGAAAGTAAGAATGAAAAACTAAAGAAAAAGAAGAATGAAAAAGAATGAAAATAAAAAAAGAAAGAAATAGAAAAAGAATGAATAGAAGAAGTAAAGAAGAAATAAAGAAAAATATAAAATAAATGCGCAATGAAAAAATGCTTGAAAAAAATGGAAAGAATGAAACGGAGAAGAGAATGAAAGGGTAGAAAGCCAGAAAATGGGTAAAAATAGATTTATGGAAGATGCAAATTGTGAAAGAAAGACAAATTTAGAAAGAAGAAAAATAGGCACAGGGAGAAAAAAAGAAATTAAGAAGAGAGAAAAAAAAAGAAAAAATATAGAACGAACGACCGAATGAAAGAAAATGAAAGGATGAATGAAAAAAGAAAATGAAAGAAAGAAAATAAAAAAGAAAGAAAATGAAAGTAAGAAAATGAATGAAAAAATAAAATGAAAGAAAGATTTAATGAAAGAAAATAAAATAAAATGAAAGAATGAATGAAAGAATCAAAGAAAATGGAAGAAAAAATGGAGAAAGAAAATGAAAGAAAGAAAGAATGAAAGAAAAGAAAAGAAAATGAAAGAATCAATGAAAGAAAGTGGGAGAACTAAAATGAAAGAAAGAAAATGAAATAAAAAAGAATGAAAATCAATGAAGGAAAGAAAATGAAAGAAAGAATGAGAGAAAAGGAAGAAAAGGAAGAAAAGGAAGAAAGAAAATGTGAAAAAAAAGAAAATGAAAGAAAGAATGAAAGAAAAGGAAGAAAAGGAAGAAAGAAAATGTGAAAAAAAGAAAATGAAAGAAAGAATAAAAGAAAATGAATGAGGAGAGAAAAAAAGATGAAAGTAAAATAAATGTTTAGATAAGATAAACAAATGAAAAGAGCAATGGAAACTTGAACGATACAGACAAAGCTAAATAGCAAATAGACTACGACACAATGAAGAATTGTCAAGGGGAAAAAATGAAGAGAATAGAAAAAAAAAAGAGAAACTATGTAAGGCCAGGCATTTTTGGAGAGAATGAGACAAAAAATAATTTATTCTAAAATGAGTCCGTAGCTTAAAACTTTAGATTTTTTTTTTATTCCGGAAAAAAGAAGTCCCAAACGATTAGTTAGACAATCGACGATGTACAGTTCAGAAATTCAAATAAGATCAAAATCTTATTAGAAATATATTTACAAAAATATAAGATAAAAATAAAAGATAAAAATAAATTCATGACAAGCAAATAAAAATAATAATTACAAAAAATGAAGGACGTTACTCGCATGAAGGAAAGTCAACTAAAATGGCAACGATCTTCTCTTTATTCGTTTAGGAAGAAAAATACATTTTCTTTCTTTTTTTATTTCCCCATCTTTTTTCTTTTCACATTTCTTTCTTTTTTGTTCGCGTCTTTTTCTTTCTTATTCAATTTTTCTCTTTCTTTTCTTTCACATGTTAAGTCTGTCATCACTAACTTATTCTTGTTTCCTTAGATGTTTGCATGTTTTCTTTCTTTCTTTCTTTCTTTGTCAGTGTCTTGACTCTTCAATGATGTTTAGCAATTCCTGTGGTGAAAATCCCGACTGCGTGAAAGAGCCGACTACAGCAATATTAACAGTAAAATGTATTCAACGATTAATATGCAATAAACTTATCTTTTCGTTACAATGAATGATAATTAAAATCCTAAACATTATTATACAAAGGCCTGTGTTTTTGCCTTAAATCGTTTAAAAAATAACAGAGAAATCTCCGATAAAATATCAGTGATTGTCTTTGGCATCTTAGATTCTATATATCGTAGCCAAACAGTCAAATATGAAGTGATTGAGATAGATAGATAGATAGATGAGAGGGCGCGTGAGATATGAATAGACTCAGATAGATATGAATAAAACGAGAGAGTTAAATAAGAAAGAGATAGATAGATAGATAGATACGAACAGACTGAGATAGATATATACATAAATATGAACAGTCTAAGCTTACTAGCTAGCTAGCTAATTAGATAGATGTAAAGTGACTGGGATAGATAGATAGATAGATAGATAGATAGATAGATAGATAGATAGATGTTAAGTGATTGAGTTAAATAGCATCAAGCATGACAAACAGAAAACAGACAGACACACATAGATAGATAGATAGATAGATAGATTGATAGATAGATAGATAGATAGATAGATAGATTGATAGATAGATAGATAGATAGATAGATAGATGTTAAGTGATTGAGTTAGCATCAAGCATGACAAACAGAAAAGAGACAGACAGATATATATATATATATATATATATATATATATATATATATATATAGATAGATAGATAGATAGATAGATAGATAGATAATGAACAGACTACGATAGATAGATAATGAACAGACAGATAGATAGATAGATAGATAGATAGATAGATAGATAGATATGAAGTGACTAAGATGAAACTATTGTTTAAAATGACATTTGCTCGCCTCAGGTTGTTTTCTTGTCGATGTTTACGTGCTACGTAAGACTATACAATAAATTATAATTCCTCCAGCATCGGCAAAAACAACAACCCCCCCCCGTCTCGCCAGAGATTTGAAATCCGACTTGCAGAACATTCACAAGCGTCTCAAGTGTACGTCTGCTTTCAACTTTTGGGAATGCCATGAAGTTATTGCAAAAACAAACTTTTCCACTAACAATGTTTCATTCCTCACACTCCAGGAGGTTAAAAAAATCGCTGAAGATGGCGAAATTGCCAAGTTCTTGTGTATTCCATGGCGGGTAAACTCAGAATGATGCCTGTGACAACGGCACAGTTTTCATTGGTGTGGAACCATTTTCGGCCTGCAGGTGTTGGAGGGAAGAGTCTGGTCGTATACATTCGGGATCAGATGTTTGGCATCCCTTTTTGGGTCGTCTCTCTCTCTCTCTATATATATATATTTTTTTCTAAGATGGGGATATTTGAGAAGGGGTAGAGATACGTTTCTAGAATGTTGTCAAACGCATTTTGCACTACCCAGGAAAACGAATGTGTTGTGCATAGGCATTTTTTTGCTCTGTTTTTCTAAGGATATATTTGAAGATTCTTGATAAAATACAAAGAAGAATCTGCAATATTATTGCTCCTGAGCTGGCATCTCGGCTTCAGTCACTTTCCACTGCCATAAAGTTGCTTCCCTCTGCCTTTTCTATAAATATTTTCATAGTAATACCTAAACTTTATGAATTTAAGTGCAGTACTAGATTGGCAATAAGGTCCCATCAATTTATGGTTGAATTGGGTATAGATGTAACCATAAGTTTCTTTTCTTGCATTTTTCATTTGTGGGAGTCCTTTCCATGATTTCTAGTTAACTTTAATCTTCAAAAATTCAAATGCAATGTCAATCGTTATCTACCATCTTCCTGATTACTCTTCTATTGCTCTCACTTCTTAATAATGTTTCTCCTTTCTAAATCTTTCACACCCAGTAACACCTTGTGTCTTAGTGGCTTTGCTGCCTTGCTTGGGGTAAAACTTATTAAAAAAAATCCGTTCTATCTTAACTTAGATTTCTATTCTAATATTTTATATATAAAATACAAGAAAAAAAAAACTTCTCTCCTCGTTCAATATTTTGGGATGTTTCAGCCAGTGTATATTTTCTTCAGGTGACCATATTATTGGGAGTATTTTTATAAGTCGGTCTGATGTTAATGGCCATAGTCTATATCAATGATTTATAGCATCGATAACGAGATATTACAAGCTTATATAAAGATATATTTTTACATAATTTTTTCTGCCGATATCTCTGAAGTGAGGTACTATAACGAATCACTACATAGTTTGGACTGTTGTCCTCATCTTTATTTCCATATGCAGGACGTTTCGATCGTTGTACACTGTAGTCTTCTTCAGATGATATACGTTGGATTTTCAAATCTAAACCATTATTTAATCCACGTGGGTAGCTTGTTCTAATTCATTCCTTTTGTGGATATCTCAGATGTTTCAGTTTAGTAGATAAAAGCGTTCAAAGAGTGACTTGACCCAAAGAGTTGTGAGTTCAATACCTGGCAACAGCAGAGGGAACAAAAACTTGGAGAGTTGAGTTACAACATATACCTCCTGAAAAAAGTTTTACAATGATGTTCACTCTGTACAAGGCCGGAGAGCCACTCGAGGTGGAGGGTTACAGAGTAAGAGGCACAGTTTATGTGGATTTGTGAGGAAGATAGCAGTTAACCCTAGACTTGAACATTTGAAGATTGTAATGATCGGTCATGCATCTTCTTGGAAGATGGTTCCGCAAATTGGTGCTTCGTGGCGAAAAGCTGCTCGAGTTGAACTTACATCAAACCCAAGGAATGAAGAAGGAGAGTGGTTTTATATATATATATATATATATATATATATATATATATATATATATATATATATGAATATAATAAAATAGGCAGCATATATTTTATTAAAAAATGCGCCATATCCATTTTATACATAAGGATCTCATCATTCAGTGGATTATTAGTAGTATAATGCTTATAATTATGTCTACTAGGGAAAGGATTTTGCCAATAATTGCATTATTATTGCTAATTGATTCAAGGTATGATTAACTCTTTGTAATATAAAATATATTCTGCCTATTTTATTATGTTCATATATATATATATATATATATTACAATAAACGTGCAATCAATTTACAAATACATGAATTATTCACACAAAACTAATGCAAAGGTTAATGATTTTAAATGGCGAGACATCCATCTCGCAAATAATTCAAATATTACACAAAAACCTTAGATCCGTTATGAATGAATTGATCCTTGTTCATATAAATTTCTGCCGTATTAGTTGTTATTTTTACACAAGCTTTCGTCTTACTAAGAGAAAAAAACAAGAACAACATCTATTTTATACCTGAAGATGTCTGTATGAACAGATCACTGTAAATCACTAGCGGGTCTTAATTTCCACTTAAGATTATAGCATATAATTTCATAACTGAATCAATTAAGTTGTCAGATCCTCATACGTCGAAACCGACTGGGGAGTCCATTAAATTACATTATATATATATATATATATATATTTATATATATATATATATATATATATTGCTAGCTTTGAAGTGCAATCTTTGTAGGGTACATTCTTCCATACGAAATATTTGGAAATTTCACCGTGATGTCGCCCGTTGTTGATTTCTTGCTTTCTTTCTTAACTTCTTGTTTGGCAACTGATATTCGCTTGCTGACATTTTTTTTCCATTCCATAATGGTAAATTCCTCTCCATGTTGACGGTTTCACAATAGGACGACTGAAAATAAAATGTCTGCAGGGTAGCCTTGAGTTGATGCTTGTATCTTCTTCATTGGCCATCTCTGGTTTCTGTTCCTTCTCAGAGCTCGGAAGACAGGATTTGCTTGGGGAGTATTTACAGCGTATGTATGAGTTAGCTCACATGAAAGCTCCAGCATTTAAAAGCGCATTTGTTGTTTACATCATTAAAATATATTCACGCTGCTCTACCGGATGTTGTTGACATGACAAGACTGGACGATACTGAATATCATTTTGGTAAATTTATATATTAAGAACATACATCTATCTATCTATCTATCTATCTATCTATCTATCTATCTATCTATCTCAGTCTCTACCACTCTCTCTCTGTATATCTCACTCTCTCTCACACCCCCACTCTCTCTCTCTCTCTATATATATATATATTTATATATGAGTCTGATAATAAGCTATCTATCTCAGTCTCACCCCTCTCTCTCCCCTCGCTTCCTCTCTTTGTCTCTGTCTATCTCCTTCTCTGTCTTTCTCCCCTCCCTTCTTTCTTTCTCTCACTCTCTTTCTCTCTCTCTCTCTCTCTCTCTCTATATATATATATATATATATCAGTTTGCCCATATTTATCTCTCTATTTATTTCAGCTGGTCAGGTCTCTCTGTCGTGCTGTATATATATATATATATATATATTACGATAAACGTGCAATCAATTTACAAATTCATGAATCATTCACACAAAAACAAATGCAAAGGTTAATGATTTAATTGGCGAGAAATCCATCATCGCAAACAATTCAAATAATATACAAAAACCTCCGAATCCGTTATGAATGAAATGATCCTTGTTTCCATAAATTTCTGCCGTATTAGCTCTTATTTTTACTACAAGCTTTCGTCTGTTTCTACAGACATCTTCAGGTATCGGAAATTTTGCCAACAGTAGAAAAACTGATACAGAATATGATGTCCATTTCGATGTTTCAGTCAGCCGAAATGTCCGAGTCGGTGTTAAGGGGAGGGTTGAAAGCATTAGCCTTAAAGGGAAGAGGTTTTATAAAATTAACCCCGATATAAACCATATGACATTAAATTGAGGTTTTATGAAGAAATAGGTGTTAAGTTGAAACAAAATGAGGGCCGAAAAGCGAGTTCTATGTATAAAAAAATGTGATTCTATGTACAAAATGTGTTCCTATGTACATTAGTCCGATACCACTGTGTGACGGCAAGATAGAATATGTACATGTGCATATGTGTGTCTGTGTGCGTGTCTGTGTGTATTCGCGTGTGCGTGTGTGTGTGTATGTGTTGTCATTATGTGCAACCAGAAATCTTTAAAAAATACATCCCATTTATGATGGATTTCGCTGAGGACAATACGGGACACGCTTTTCCTCCTGTTCCAGCAACGAAGAGAGTTTTGACAAATGTTGTTCCTTTCTTTTTATCTCTGGATCTGGGGTCTTCATCAAGAAGTCCGTCATCTTGGGATATTATTGGCGTCATATTTTTCTGTTGTAAGCTAATTCCGTCCAATGTCACCGGTCGATGCCAGAAAAGTGAAAGATTTCAAGTTCTTTAAGGTGCTCTACGCACACACACACAAACATATATATGCTATTATAATGGACTTTTTAAAAACATACTATTATCACAACACCGAAATTCCCATGTTTCAAAACTGAAACATCAATTCAAATTCAGTCGTAAAAATTAAACTTAAAAATAAAAGATTCCGTTAAACATATATTCATTCCTTAAGTAAACACACACACATATTTCTTTTGTTTTTGGATCTGAAGAAGCCGAGAAATGCGAAACACGTAATCTAATTTAGTGTCAATGAAACGTTTTTTTTTCATTTGTCAAATTTCCTTGTCTGGATTCTACCCACCCATATTATATATATATATATATATATATATATATATATATATATATAGATAGATAGATAGA